CATAATGGCTGGGCAGAGGAAGCGCAAGAAGAGCGAGGCGCTGATCAGCCTGTCAGCGATGTCCTCCCGGCCCCGCTCTGCGCAGCGCAGCCGCCAAGATGCAAACACCTCCTTCAGCTCCCTCGGGAACACGCTGAGGGGAAGGGGTGGGGAGACAGAGAGAAAGAGAAAGAAAGAGAGAGACCGGGACTGAGCCCCAGAGACCCTCAGCTTCCAGGGAACATGCTGAGGGGGGTGGTAGGAGGTGAGGGTGTGGAAACAGAGTGGGGGAGAGACAGGGAGGGAGGGGCTGCAGGAGGAAGACGGGAGGCTGCTGGAAGAAGAGGGCTATGGCAGAGGGAACAGACAGATCAGGGAAAGAGAAATGGAGGGGGAGAGAAGGTGAGGGGAGAGAGACATGCGGGAGAGAGACGGAGGGCGTATGAGAGAGACGAGGAGAGGAGTAGAAGAAAAACAGACACCAGGGAGAGACAGAGATGGGAGAGAGATGGAGGGTCACTTGAGGTACAGGGAGCTCGGACCCCCCAACTCTTCTGGATTCCAGGGAAATGGGGATGGAGGTGCCCCTGCGTGACCCCCATTGCCCACAATGGCTCAGCTCACTCCCCACCTCCCCGTCCCACTTCAGTGTCCCACTGACACCTTAACCCCCCCCCCCAACTTGTGTAGTGTAAAGCAGAGCTCACCATCGCCCCCACACCTCCAACTGGCTCCTCCTCCTGACTTCCCCAGTTCTGTCAATGAGACCACAGGTCTCAAACACCAGCCCCGTGGCCTCTTGAGTCATCCTTGACTCCCCACAGACAAGCTCCCTTCTTTGTAATCAGCTGAAGGCTCCGGCTGATCCTTTCCTCAGTGAGTCCTTCACAGCGGCCCCTCTCTCCCTTTCCTGCCACCGTCCCGATCCACTGACAATCACCTCCAACTAGCCTGGACTCCGTTCTCCCTACCCCACTCACTCCCTGCACCCCACGCCACTTAAGGATTAATCTTCTCAATCATGATACTTCTTGGCACTAGCACCACTAATGGCATCCGTGACCTACCAATGAACTCAAACTCTTAGCCTGGCAGCTGAGGACTTCCAGATTCTAACTCCAACTCCCATGTCCAGACCTCTTCTCCTTCCACTCTCCATTAGGAGCCATGTGCTCCATTAAACCTGGCCTAACTGCTGGCCTCCGAAAGCTCCCGGGCCCTCACCTTCATGCATGTGCCCCTCCCATGGCATTCTCCCAGAATGTCTTCTTTGCCCATCAAATCCACACATCAGAACCTAACCCAGTCTTCAAAGCCCAGCCCCGGGCGGGGGGGGGGGGGTACCTCCTTCACGAAGCCTTCCCAGCTTATCTCAATCAAACCTCCACTTTCTCTGGCCTTATGTTGCCTGGGGGGAGGGAACCTTCCTTGGCACTTAACACACAGTACAACTGTTCCGTAGCTTTCTGTGTATCTAACCTGTCCCTCTAAGGGCAGGGGCCAGGCCTCAATCTTCTGTCTGCCTGCCTTACAGCCCCAAGCACGCCGCTTCGCCCATAACCAGTATTCAGTCCTCTTTGCGGATGGACAGATGGATGAACAGATGAACACACGACCCCAGCCCCGGCCCCCACCCAGCGTTCCCAGTCTCACCAGTGGGAGTTGACCACCTTGCACAGGGCCAACTCACAGCACATCCGCAGGTTGGCCTGGTGCTCTGCCAGGCTGGACGCCGTGCACTTGATAGGGTCCACCTCGCAGTTCTCCTCCGACTCATACAGAGCACGGATGAATTCCCCTGGGGTGGGGGCACAACAGAGGGTGGTCATACTTGCCAAGGGCAGGGATGGGGGCTGCCTGGGTTGGGGAATCTCGGAATCCCATGGTTGGAGGCTGGAGTCCGGGGACTCGAGGCTTGGAAGCATTCAAGCTGAGGAAGGGTGACTTGGGGCCTGGGGTAGCCAGGTTTAGGGTTGCGAGGCACGTGTGGCAGGTTTGGGAAGAAGACCTGAGACTAGGTCGTACCGATGGCATCCTTGAGGTATTTCTGACCAATCAGTCTCATGTACTCTTCTATGGCTTTAGTGGCGAGCGTGTTCTCGCGGAATATGAGGTGCTCCCGTTCCATGAACCGGTCTACCTCGGACATGGCCATGTCTGAAAGGAAGTCCTGAGGCCCGGGAAAATCCAAGGGTCAGCCTCCGTACAACCCGAGCTCATTCTGAAGACATTAGTGCCCTATCCTTACTATCCCCCTCTCCCAAGCGAGTGCCTACTCCCAGGTTACCTATTCCTGGGGGCACAACACTCACCTTGGCCTTGCCCGTACTCTGCAGAATGTGAACCAGTGCACTGGCAACCTCCTCCTTGCCCTTGACATTCAGGGCGGGCTCCAATACGGCACACAGCATCCGGTAGTGGTTGGTGACGTACTCTGCAAACTCCTTATACAGCTCCATGGGCAGGATACTCATCGTCTGGTAGCGTGCTTTCAGCCGCACAGCTGGGCAGCCTCCTTTGCCCTTGCCCCCTGAGCCGCTCCCTGAGCCCCCGCCCCCTCCTGAACCCCCCATGCCCCCGGAGCCCCCACTGCCTGTCGGCAGGGTCACGGGGTACCACTGCTCTGTGAAGTGGCGCCCAGCTAGGGTGGCCACGGGCACAGTCACCAGGCCAACGTAGCCCGCCTTGTCCTTCTTGCGCTTTTTGTCTGAGTCACGGTACAGATGTAGCCGCAGGGCGCGGACAGCCGGTAGGTTGTTAAACTCAAAGTGCTCGCCCCAGAAGACGGTGTCCCCTGAGGCCGACCGGGGCTTGGAGGTGGTGCGGGCATACAGCATATCATCCAGGCAGAGCTCGCAGTAGTACCGCTTCTTGGGGGGTAGCTCCCGAGCCTCTATGATCCACAGCTTCAACACATTGTCCACCCGTCGGCTGTTGTCCTGGTGGGGTGGGGTGGGCATGGCGGATAAAGGGGAAGGGAGAGAGAGACAGAGACACCAAAAGGGGAGAGACAGTGAGAAAGTGACAGACAGTCTCTGAGATAGCAATCGGAAGGCTGAGAGTACGTGTACTGGGTTGACTAGTATCCTGCTTCCAAAATTCATGTCCACTTGAAACCTATAAACGTGACCTTAACTGGGAAAAGGGTCCACTTAATATGGGTCCACCTTAATATGGGTCCCTTAAAAGGGTCCACCTTAATATGAGGTACACTCATATTAAGATGTGTTCATGCTAGATTAGAGCGGGCTCTAAATCCAATGCCTCATATCTGTATGGAGAGAGATTTAGAGACCAGAAACACACGGAGGCAGAAATTGGACAGGTGCGGCTGTAAGTCAAGGAATGCCAAAGATTGTTGGCAACCCCAGGAGCTAAAAGGCAAGAAAGAAAAAAAGAAAACCAAAGAGGCAGGGAAAGATTCTCCCTTAGAGCTTCAGAGGAAACAAAGTTCTGCCAACACCTTGATTTTAGACTTTTAGTCTCCCAAACTGTTAAGGAATGAACTTCTTTTGTTTTAAGTGACCTAATTGGTGGTAATTAGTTACGGCAGCCCTAGAAAACGAATGCAGATGGTAGCTCATACACCAGACAACAGAATCAGCATTGGGAAAATTTTCAAAAGCTAGAATAATAAACCAAAAATAAGGTGGAATTTGAAGGGAAGAACTGGGGAGTCCTCCAAAGACAATCAGAAGTTGATTGCAAAAACAGAAAAAGTGAGCTGCATAAATACAGGATGGGGGAGGCTACATGTAGCATGAAAGGGCCTTGAGGATACAATGGACCACAAGGTCATAGTGAAGCCCGGGAGATGTCACAGTCACAGTAAGAAGAAAGCATGGCGTTCGGACTCTGCACGCGTTAGACTGTATCCAGCAAGTAGGGTCTAATTAAGGACAATGAAAAACAAGGGCCCCCTGGAGGAGGGTCACCAGGACTGTGGGCTCACTGGAAACTGGGATTCGAGAATAGCTGAGGGAACTGGGAGCATGTCTCCTGGGAAAGAGAAGCCTTGGGAAGAACATAGACTGTAGAATTTCTGAGCCAGAGGGGACTTTAGAGGTCATCGAATCCCCATCTAAACCCCATTCCCACCAGCTCTATGGAGAGGAAACTGAGGTCTAGAGACTTGGCTAGCTGACAACTGTAGCTGTGCAGGAACGCTGCAGGCAGGGGCTAGGCGACCACTGCCAGGGTGTTGGTGGGGCGTTGCTGCCCCCAGGGAAGACAAATCGGCTTTGGAAGTCTGTGACTTCTATGGCAAAGAAACATCACAAGGTAGGAGGAATGGTAAAAAGACATGGGGGGACTGAGAAACAAGTGGGGGTCACCTCCTGCTCACCCAGATCCCCTCCTCTCCAAGCCTCCCTTTCCTTTAGAGCTCATCTTGCCCCCTAGGCCCCCGGCTTCCCCCGTGGCTTGACCTTTGCCTTGCCCATGCTGTCTGGGTCTCCTTTACTCCCGATACCTTGTTGGGTTTTACTGCCCGTTGTAGGTTCTCGATCCATTTGTCCCTCTCGGCGGCAGAACGACAGGCAAAACATTTTGTCCCTGAAGACGTTGTTACCTAGAGAGGGATGGGGGTTGAGATGGGGCTCCAGAGGGGAGGTGACTCCTAAGACTGGAGACTCCATCACTGTGTCTTCCTCCCTGGCCTGCCCTCCTTTCTTTCAACCCCAGAGGTTTCTGTTTCCTCACCATCCCCACCTGTGCCACCTTCGTCAGGCCTCCGTGCCCTCACCCTCCATCACTCCTGCCCTCCTCAGTCCGTGAGACCCAGTACCTCAAAACAGAACTCCTGGCCCAGGATGGAGCTGTGCACTGGCTTGATAATGGAATCTTCATCCAAGTTGAGCTCCAAGGCCTCGGCCGCACTGCTAGGGCTCAGCAAAGACTCGTGCGAGTGTGACTCCTTGAAGCTCTGCATCAGCCGGGCCCTGGCAGGGAAGGGTCCGATGACAGGGTCAGGGCCCCACTCTTCTTACACACCCAGGGGCTAGCTCTAGGGTAGGGACCTGGGGAAAGAGTCCCCTGAGCCCCCTTCCCACACAGACACAGACAGAAAGACATGAGGAAAATGAGAGAAGCCAGGACCCTTTAAGAAACTCCTAGCCCGCAATTCACACCTAAGGGGTTGTGAGGACTGGGGACACCTGGAAATACCTCAACCCAGAAATGGACCATGGCAGAAAGGAAAACAAAAACAAAAACAAAGAGAACAGGTGGGTGTGGGGCACTTTTAGGTGACCCACCCCCACCCCCCAAATCAGAGCCTCAATATCAGGGGGAAAAGTAGGAGTAAAGAACCAGAAATACAAAGAAAATGTTTATTTGGGCCTGGCACACAGCTAGTACCTAAAAAACATGTAATGATTCAAAGAATGAATGAATGAATGAAAGCAGAGGACAAGTTTTAGCAGAATCAGAGGAAGGAGGGAGGGGAAATCACAAGCAATAGGAGAAAGCTGTGGGCAGAGAAGTGAGAAGGAAGAGATTGAAAATGGGGCCTGGGGAAGAGGAGGAGGTAGGGCAGGAGGGAGAAGGGGGAGGCCAAGCCACGTGCGGAAAGACCGATGATGGAAGAAGATGAGGAGCAGCTGGGAAGACGGGCGTGGGAACAGAGGTGGGGGACAAGCAGGGACCACACCAGAGAGCAGAAGGTAAAGGGGACCGAGGGAATGGAGGACGTGGCACACAACACAGAGGGATGGGATAGTGAACGGCTGGGAGATGGCTAGGGGAGGAAGAGTGGAGAGCAGCGGGAAAGCGGGAGGGAGAGCTCGGGTGTGGGAGCCTCCATGAGGCTATTTATAGCAGCCCCGTCATCTTGGGCTCCTTTGCCGTCAGCGCGACGCTCCCCCGGCCCCCCGCCCCCGCGGCCCGGGATACCCTGCCCCCACCCCCCCCCCCCCACCCCCCCACCCCCCCGCCAGGCCCAAATCCAGCTCTGGTGACATAGGAGGGGGGTAGGGGAAGGTGTGACTCACCTATCCCAACCTCTCTACCTGCCCAATCCTGGGGGCGGCCAGACATGGGGGGAAAGGGAGGACAGGGTTCTCCCTGGGGAGAGACTGGGTGAGGGGGAAACCCAAAGAGGGACCCCAAGAGGCAGACAACAGAAGCAAATATCAGATCTCCTGCAACCCCAGTCTCAGAGACAGTGCCCCCTGGACTTCTCAGAGGGATTTCTGCCTCATACTTCATTCCATGATTAACCCTACAGCTTCCCCTCCCAGTTCTGTCAACCTGCATACCTGTGTAAGCCTCCCCTTTCTGTCAGGCTTTCTGCTGCCCTTCCCTCATCCATCAGTATCTGCCAGCCCCAGCCCCACTCCAACTGCTGCCATTCCCTCACACCCTTCTCCTAGATCACACTGCTCCCTCTCCTACCAACCCACCACCCCTTCCCTGGATTCCTTCAGTGTTTCCCAGGCTCCCAGGCTCCATTACTCCTCCTCTGTCCCGTACAGCTCCTTCGATCCGGGGATGGAGCCCATCCTTCTGGTGACCAGGAGAGTCCCTCCTTGGCCTCACCTTCATTCTCTTCCTGCCTCTCAGCTTGTCCTCTCCCTGCACCGTGCCTCTCTCCTGCTTCCTCTTCTCCATTCTGTCCCTTGTCCCATAACATCTCTCAACCAATTCACCAATCCACGGCCTTCATTCTCTGCACCTAGATAGCCTCCTTCCCTCCAATCTCACCCAAGAGTCCCCTATGCTGCATCCAGCTCATCCCGCCCACTCCAGCCCCTGTACCGGTCATGGTCAGCACTTCGGAAGCGAGGCAGGATCTGGCGGAAGCTGCTGGTCCGGTCAAGTTTGGGTTGTGACTTCGTGCGTTTGATGGAGCTTTTTAGCCTCCGGCTCAGGAAGCCTTGCTGGGGTGGGGGGGAAATGGGGAGAGGGGTGGATTGGGGCAGGGTCAGTTCTACCTACTCACCCCTCAGCTGGTAGAGTCCCTGGATGAAAGTGGGATGGGGGGGGCGGTAAAAGGGAAGTCTCTAGAGATGAGGAAATGGAGATAGGAGCCCTGCTACCAATTTTTCTTCCCTTGCTCCCAACGGGTGCAAGCATACACACACACACACACACACACACACACACACACACACACACACACACAAACACACCAGCTTGGAGAAGGTGGGAGGGCTGGTCTGAGAAGCAGGGGGACAGAGCCAAGGAGGGGGAAACCAAAGAGGTGGGGAGAGGCGCGCGCAAGAGTGAGTGTGCGCGCGCTTTCTCTCTCTCTCTCCCTCCTGCCCCCTTTCTCAGAATCCTGGGGCTCCAGCTGGGGCTAGAGAGGAGGGGACCCAGCTGAGCCACATCTGGCTGGTGCCTTCACTCACCGAGGGCCGGAAGGGCGCAGCGGGGGCGGCCTCCATGCTGTACTGCTTCCCCCCTGGGACGCTCTTCCTCCTCGAGCGACCCAAGTGGTATTCTGGAGGGGGATAAAGAGCCAGAAGGGAAGTTGGGGAGGGGTTGCTGTTAGCCCAGGTTTCCAACTCTGGCCCCAGCCCATTTGCCCACCTCCCTCTGCCCCTCAGCTCCAGCCTCACCTACCCCCCGGAAAGCAGCAGGAAGAGCAGCGGCGGCTGAGAGGCTGACGGCGGGAAGGAGGGGGTAAAGAACCCGAGCCGGAGCCCCCCGAGGGGGATGGGGTGGGAGGCCTTAGGCCCATGACTGGGACTGGCAGTCAGCAGAAGGACATGGCTGAGAGGGTCAGTAAAACCCCAGTGGTAAAAGGACACCAAAGATCCACAGAAGCTAGGTCCTTGGTGCCCACCCCCCCAGGAAGGGGCTAGCTGGGGGGGGGCAGTTGGGTTAAAGGTCATTGCCCATAAGGCAGGCTTTCCTCTCCCCTCAGCTGGGCACATCTTCCACCTGCCCCCCTCTCCTGGAACCCCTGTCTGTCTGGACAGCCAGGGCTGCCTCCCATGACCCCCTCCCTGGTCTGGAGGGGGAAGTCTTAGAAGCGACCTGTGAGGAGTGGCAGGGGAAGAAGCCTGGGGACAGAAAATTCAAGGAAGGGGCAGATGGGAGGGGGAGGGGGAGGGGAGAAGGGCAGGTTCCACGTGCACTGCAGTGGCAGGGACTCAGGAGGGAAGGGGGGTGGGGAAGAGGAAAAGAGAAGAATGCAGGGGAGTGGGCAGGGAGTGGGGAGGATGAGCAGTGGAGGTTCAGGGGACTCCCAAGTGAGGGTAGGGAGAAGAGGAGGAGGGGAAGAGAATGCGGATGAAGCTCGGACTGCCACGAGTCTAGAGGGGTGGCAGCTCAGAGGAAGGAAGCTGGGGCTCTGCTGCCAGGGAATTTAGAGGGGCCAAGGGGCTAGAGGAGAATGAAAGTGGGGGGATGCCAAGCTCCGGCTCCAGCTCCAGAATGGCTGCCCAGGCCTGGGCTCCCCCCCTCAGCCCCACAGTCACCACTGCAGCCAATGGGGGGGCAGGTGCTGCATCAGGGGCGGGGCTATCATCTCCACGGCAACAAGAAGCTACAGGCTGGGGGGGGGGGGGGGAACCGGAAGAGCTGCCTGTTAACCCTCTAGGTTCCAGAACAAGGGAGGGCCACAGCTACATTTCACTGTCTGCTTCCAGAATTGCAAATCACCAGCAATCTACCCTAGAATCAGTCTTCAGTTTCCCTTTGCCTCCAAAGCCCAGGTGTTAGAAAGTCTGCCCACAAAAATGCGGACACCATGACACAGGAACCCTTGTCAGACCCTTGGGAACATGTGTGTAGAGGACAGAAACATACACTGAGCTGTGTGGGTACGTGTATATAACCACAATACAAAAAATAGGGATCTAGGTGCTTATGAGACATACACACAACTGTGAGCACAGGGGTGCCACAGATCCACGTTCTGAGACCTTGGGACCCACATACCCCACGGGATACATGCTTAGACATATGTGAACACTGCAACAGGGGAGTACACATTTGGACCCAGACACCCACATGAGAGCTGCTGGTGTGGACCTGTGGCCCCAGTCCCTTGGGAATCATGTGGGCAGCACATTACAGAATTAGACATTTAACCCTCACACACACACACACACACACACACACACACACACACACACACGGAAGTCAGTTTAACCTCTAAGATACATGCTTGAGTATACCATGATCCCAACCACAGCAAGGTATCCTGGTACCCCAAAAGCAAAAACATCCTTCATTCACATGGGAAGTATGACCACATCCACTCTGTCTCAGGACAACCCCTTCTTCTCCCCCAGCCCTTCCCTGACTCCAACACAGGCATCAGTGATTGCTCTCACAATAAACAAAAACAAGGAGCAAACGCATTATTTATCCTTCTGAGGGCACACTCAACAATGCATCCAAGGGTATCTTTTTCCTAGTCTCTGCATTTCTCAGGTATGGCTGCCTCACTTCCATTCCAAGGAACCAAACTCAGCCACTACTTTCATATGCAGGCTCCTTTAATAAGGCACAAAGACTAACTTGAAATCCACTAAAATTTTGCTTTGGAACTAAAGAATTGACAGGCAGAGAACAAATTTGCTAATTGGTTCTCTTGGTTCTTGGAAGTAATATCACCTCATGCATATTATCAGGAGCTGAGATCTATGAACTCACACATAAGTCACAGGTACGGGTAAACCACGTACGCATACGCTTACAAAGACTTTCACTACCGCAAGAAAGAAAACCACAAAGAAAAATGAAACAAAGTGACAGAAACACAGGACATTCTGCTATTAATGCTGCATGCAATGACATGTACAGGAAACACAGCACATACCCGTGTACACACACAGAGCAAACCTGGTAAGTGTACACTGCGATCCTGGGTCTCCAGGTCCCATCCCTGCACGATGTATACACGCATGCACACACATAACAGCCACCTACACACACCCGTAACACAGGCATTGTGCACACACCCACACATGTACACACCCTGTGTACACACACAATTGCACTCTCACACATACACAGCGAGGGCTTGGACTCCCGCCTCTCCAATCTCTCTAATCTTGCCATCACCCACAGAATCTCTCCCTGCCCTCCCAATGTCCCACATCCCTAACCTTCCCTTTGGCCTTTCTTCCTTGTCCTACCCAGCTGGCAACTCTTGAGGGGAGCCAAGGAGAAAGGTTGCCAGAGCAGGATGAGGAACAGAGCTGGACAGAGCAGCGAAATGGGGGGCAAAACTGAGCAGGGGACAGGAAGCTCTAATGACAGCACCTGCAGTGACAGGCCTCACTGTGAGCCAGCCTCTATGCCTGAGTGGCCATCTCTCATCCAACCAAGCCTGATCCTATACAACCTACATGAACCAGTGTCCTCTCTCTCATCTTGCCCCTTTCTTCTCTCAAGAGATAGCTTTACCAAAAGGCCTCTTTCCTCCTCCTGCCCCTCCTCCCCAGCTCCCAGACCCCTTCTCCCTCCATCCAGTTCCCCATCTTAAGCTTTCTTATCCTCTTTTCTCCTCAATCTGGCTCCAAGATCTCCCACATTCCCTTTCTCCAGCCATTCTTTCCCTCTTAGCCAAGCCTCTCTCATTCTTCACCTCCCTTCTCCCCACTTTTCCACTTTCTCCCCACTCCTTTCTTTTTCAGCTTTTCAATCCCCACTCCTAGACACACCAGGGGCTCACACCTGCCTAGCTCAAAGGTGTTTCGTACATAGTAGGATGCCAAGAAGCCCACTCACACACACTCACTCCCTTCCCCCACTTGCACACCACCCACATCCAGACACACCCTGGACACCCGTGCTGGGATTGACACAGATACCCAGGCCAATGATGGAACACATGCAAAGACACACACCTGCCACCAGGGACAGGGAAAATCCTGCTCATGCAGCCACACATCCCTACACACAGGAGACTGACTGGAGGTGAGCCCCAGCCAGAGAGAGACATGCGTGTTCAGGGTCGGAGGTGACATGTACCAGTATGACCAGTGGCCGGCCCAGCAGTCTCCTAGGCAGGAACCAGACAGAGGCACGATGAGACAGGACAAGCTTGCACACGGCCAGCTGCACATGTGTGCATGAGGAACTGGGCCCCGGGTACACATGGCATCGACACACAGGGGACACGAGCATGGACACGAACACATACACGGACACGCGGGCTGCCGTGTCCACCAAGGGGCTCCGAGATCACCCCGCACCGGCCTCCCCCGCGTGCTCGCGACCCTGGCCCCCCCGAGGCCGGTCCCCGACCCCCCACCTCCGCTGCCCCCCTCCAGTTACCATAACTCCCCCCACTCGGAAGATGCAGCGAGAACATGCGGAGGGAGCAGCTGCCGCCGCCGCCGCCGCCGCCGCGGCTTCCCCACCCCCTCCCGCGCCCACGCACACGCGCGCCCCCGCCCCCACGCGCGCTCCTCGTCCGCCCGGCCCCGCCCTTACCTCGCACCGCCCCCTGGGGGGGG